AAAGGCCCTTTTTTTTTTTTTTTTTTTTTTTTTTGGTACTGGGGATCAAATTTGGGACCTTGCGCTTGCGAGGCAGGCAGTGGAACCACTGAGCTAAATCCCCAGCCCTCACAACACGTTCTTTTGGGAACTTTGTGGATTCTGTGACTTTTTCCTGAACTCTGTCTCCCCTTTAACACAGAACATGCACCCTAATGGTTCAGACCCTGCCCACGTCTTCCTGCAGTGTTAGGTTTCAGATAGAAGTACTACTTCACTTAACAACTTGCAAAGATTAGGGACATCTCTGAAGTGCCAAGAGGCCTCTGACATTCCCTCTGGCTTGTCACAAGTGCAGGGAAGACAGTGTGCCCAAGCATGGCTGACCGCACATCCTCCTGAGAAGAGGGGAGAGGCTAAAGATGGTCCCAACTCTCTGGGAAGCCTTCCTGGGGAGAGAGAGGACAACTGTTGCCCTCACCTCTAGATATTGCAGCCCTGCCTCCCCTTCTCTCCCCGTGATGCTGGGTCAGCCGTCTCCACATTGGGATGTCATCACTCACCGGCCTGGCCACTTTTACCTTCACCAACCATAACGATCAAGGCCAACATTCACCAGCATCAAGTGAGGCCCTGTCTGTAGGGTCTGAAGCCCCCCACCTCCTGTGTCCCACTTCCTTCTACCCCAAGGAGCAATACAGACATGGCTTCCCCATGGACCTCTATTCCTGAAGGGCAGGGTGTGAGCTGCCAAAGGACTCAAGGCATACAGGGACTTGGAGGAGCCTGGCTGGTGGGCCTTAAGAAGTAAGAAAAGATCTGCTGTCTGTTCAAGAGCAGCATGAGGAAGATAAGAACAGGGAAGGGCATTAATACTCCTGCCCACCCTGGTTCCATTCTTTCACTGAAGTTGGACACTCTCAACAGAGATCTCGGTCAGGAAGGCTAGAGCTGAGGGTGGTGACCCAGTTCTGGACTGGGGGAGTGAGGAACGTGAGGGGAGGTGGTGGTGGCTGATGGCGAGAACATGGATCCAAGTCCCTTGGCAACATTGAAAATATGGAGCCCCTTCGCTGCCTGCTCCCCATGCTATCCTTCGGATGGTCGTGCTGTACTGAGCCGTTGGAGACCCTGTAATATCAACTCAACAATGCATGTTCTACAACTACGGCTACAGCTACCAGTACATCTACTACAGGGCATGCATTTAGTTCAGTCCCACAGATACATACAATCTAAGAACAGGCAGGGAGGTGTGAAATGTTTTACTGGACAACAGGTGTTTTGGAGTTGTAACTAATAAAAAAAATCAAAAACGAAAGTGTACAAAAAAAGACATTTCTTGAGAGTTGGATATGAGTTTGTTTCTTGAACTGTTTCATCTGAACAAGCAAAAACATGCAAACCAGCTGGTACTAACAGGAAGCTGGACACCGAGAGAGGATTAATAGGTGTGGACAAACCTTCCCGCTGAGCGTGCTCAGAAGAGTGTTTGAGAGGAGGTGTGCAGATCCTAGTGTAAGAGAGGCAGGAAAGTATGCCTCAGAGACACTCTCTCACCGCAGCCCCAACCAAGCAAGAGAAAAGACAACAGAAACATGACTGCTCACACTCACCACCACCGTCAGGAGCTCATGTAACTAGACTGGAATAAAGCTGGCAAGTATAAAGTACAGTAAGGGGTCCTGGCTGGGGCTGGAGATGGGCTGGGGAAGGGGCAGGGTACGCCAGGGGGCTCCGCAATTCTAAGAGTGATCCATGGACCCACCCATCATATCACCCAGAAATGAGGCAGCCCCGAGTATCTGAACCATTGCCCTCCCAACTGGAGGGAGTCGTTTGCCAAACTGGACTTAGGTTTGGGTAGGGCATGATGGGGCCACTGGAACTGAATGAGTACGATCAAAATAAACAGACAAACGCTTGACTGAGCACAAGAAAAGATGGTATTTCAAACTGCCAGGTGAAGACAAAAGAAAAGTGACCACTGATAGTGAAGTTATCTAGGAGTCGGCAGGGACCTCACCGGGGAGACCCCTGAGCCCTGCTTGCCTCAGTTCCTGGGGAAACTGGGAAAAGGTGGACAGGCTGGCCCGGAGGAGTGGGCTGAGTTGGGTGCAGAGCTCAAGGCACCCCATGGACCTCCTACCCTGACACCAAAGCCCTGACAGATGCAAGTTTCCAACCTGAGCCCCAATGAAGCTGCCTCCCAGCCCCCAGCTCTCCACAGTACTTCTTACTCAGGAAGGGCCCCCGAAAATATATGGAAGGAGCTGGGCAAAACCAATATGGTAGAGCTAGACAAAAGTCAGAGACATAAAAAGGGCCTTCCACAGGATGTCTGAACCCTAAACCAAGCCCAAGAGCCCCCTGGGGAGCAGAGGTCACATTTCCTACTGGTTGGAGTCTCCTGTTAGGTACCAGGCTCTGGGTAGGTATTCAATGGATTCTCCCTGAACAGGCACTGAGTTGTGAAGCCTTCTCATAGCCAGGATGCTTGCTCCTGGGGAGGAGCTGGGCTGTGAGGGGCAGGGTTGCCGGAGCTGGTATAGGTAGACCTGGGTCATCAGCTCCGCACGAGCCCTTCGAGGGCCTGGACTGATACACATACCCCAAAGAGTCTCTGTGGCCCTTCTCAATTCATAGCCAAGAGTTTCTGCCAATGAAGGGCTGCTCAACAGATAAATAACAGACCAACTGCCAGCCTTGGAGTTCTAGACATTTTCTAGAGGGAAGAAGGTGACAGTCTCCCTGCCAGTCAGAATGTATTGAAAGAGAGGCTGAGACTTTCCGGTCCCAACTCTGTAACCCTGCCTACACACAAGCGGGCCAGGCTATGTTCTGACTACGGTAGCGTGGTTCTGGGGAACACCCCAAACCCATGACCCCCAGGCAGCACTGGGGGGGCTTCCCTGTAGCTTGCTGGGTGAGCCTCACCTGGGCGGTGGGCACCTCGAGTTGAGGATTTACTCCTTGCACTAACCCAGACTGGGGTGGGGCAGGGGGTCTGGGAGCACACTCCTGAATACGATTCACTAACAGTGCGGAGATGAGCATGACGGATCTTGAATGGCCTGTGGGAGAAATGGCTACAAATAAAACACCATTGACCCTGGAAAACAAAAGTGTGGCTGGAGATGACCTTGAGGGTTAGGAGTTAGAGGGTGGGTGGGACTCCCGCCTGGCTCTGGGGGGTGGTCTGTGGGAGGGTTGGGATGGCAGAAGGGGGCACAGACTGTGGGGAGACCGCTCTCAGACTTGCAAAGAACCCCATGCTGCCCTTTAAACTTGCCATGAAGTCAAGGAGAATGGGGTGGGGTGGGGAGAGAGGCAGGGTTAATTTCAGGTTAAAGTTTAGTTTCATAATTCAAGTTATAAAAAGAAAGAAACTGAACGGAGAAAACAACAACCAACAACACTCAAAAATCTCAAGATTGTTTTTTATCTTTTTCCCATCCCAGGCACAGGTAGGACTGAGGCTTTTTTTTTTTTAACGATAATGAAAAGCACTCAAGTTAAAAAACCAAGCAGAACAGGGACACACTTAGGCAGTGCACCCTGCCCCCAGGGCCCAGGGTGGGGGGCACCAAGGGGCACTGGCCAGAGTGCAGGTGGGGCTTTTGGCGACCAGCTGGCATGGGTGGATGGTGCCCAGCCCTCTGGGCCTGCCTGCCACTTGCCACTCAGCTGTCTGGCAAAGTGCCCTTTGGTAGCCGCCCCCCTGAGAATTCATAGGCCCCTCCAAACAAAACCCCAATGGGTGATTCTGGGGAATGGATCCTTTGTAGCTCCGAGGCAGTGCCAGTTTGCATGGAACGGAGTTTTACTGACATTTTCTAATGGGCCTCCCAGTGTGGAGGGTGTGGGTCTTTGGCATTTGCCCTCTGGGTTTTTAATGCATCCTTTCCCTGGTACCCTCACCAGCACCACTGCTCAGTCCCACCCACCTACCCAGAGCCCTGTTATAGGAAATGAAAGCACTTCCTGGGTGTGCCAGTGCTCTGACCCTTGGGTGAGGTCGGGGAGAGAACTGCAGACCTTGGCTTTTCAATTTAAGGAGGCGGGGGTGAGGGAACTAGAACAGTGGCTGTAGGGGAGCCCAGGGCAGGGATGAGGCCCTAGGGCCTAGGAAAGTAGGGTACCTGAGGGGTGCATGCCAGCAAGGCTGAGGAAGGGCTCCCAGGTCACTCGGTGGTTCCAGACCTCTTACAAGGTTGGATTTGGAGAGGGAAGGTCTAGGGCAACCTC